TGGTTAATTATGCTAAAGTTGCATCACGCATGCTCACATCGATCACCTAATTCGGAGACTCGTTGCTAATATCGTCAATAAAAAATAATACGCTGTGCCTATATCCATAGTATATGATCTAAGGCTAAAACCTGTTACAATCAATAACTATAAACAATATTTATTGTTTATTTACTTACTTTTTTTGTTTTGGACTGGCCCGACCGGGTACTGTCCAGAGTAAAATATGTTTTTTTTTATTGTTTTTCGAAGAAAACTTTTCGTAAATATGTATGTCTTTGTAAAACATTATAAGTCGTTTATACTATAAGCCTTGTGTAGGTACTTATTTACTGTTGGCTTATTATCGGCGAGGAAAACATAATATAGAGTGAACATAATATTATGTTTAGTATATTATTACTTTTGATAAACAAACAATGCAAATAATCATCATTTCGGGGCATTTATAATGCATGTCAGAATTAGTTGTAATTAACAATAATACTTATTTTATAAGAGAGAATGTTTTAACGAATTCATTTGGTGATAATTATATGCATGCATACATCATAATGCATATATTCAGTAAGTTCTTAAAAATAAAATTTAAAAAATGGAAATGTTGGTGTGATTTATATATATATATTATAGCTCTCGTAGTCTGGAAAAGCACTTTACTACTTAAAACTACTTATGATTTTTAAGCATTGGTTTCTTTCATGAATAACTTTATTTTTTATACGATGGAAACGGCAAAACTCAAGAGTTATGAACGTTATATTTTATTTATTGAACAGGCCTCAAATATTTTGTTCGATGATAATATAATTATTATTAGTTTCATAACGTGTTCGGTAGTTAATAATATCACTATAGAGCAAACAATTTTATCCTAATTTATTAGTGCCAGTATTTCTTTCATGTGGTTGGATATCTGTTTAACCGTTCTGTGCCTCATATGCTCTACACACAATAAATAGGTATGTGTTTAATTGTGTTGCGGTTTCCGCATACCTGGCATGGTTTGTAGTCTAGACCACTCGTTATATTACTTTATTCACTTGTTTATACATGACGATTTTAATAAATTTATTAAGTTATCATTCTTGTAATAACAGATATTATATTCTCTATGCGGTCATGTAGGTATAATAAATAATAATATACATTTTGAAAAGTGAATAGGTATTTTTTAAAAGTACATTTATAGAACATTGATTAAAAACTACCTATATTGTTTTAAATCAATCAATAATACCTAACTATTAATATACATTTTATGAATTATTTTTTAACTAAACGATACACAATCTTATTAATTAACGCATAGTTAGATGCATATAATTGTTTTTGTTTAAATATTGTATAAAATAGATATGCTTAATTTGTATTACTACTAATATGATAATATAATTTAACATTAAATATTCTATTAAAATGTCCACTGCAGTGTAGTTATATAATTATACAGAATAAGGTAAAGTATAGGTAGGTATAAGAAAATTATTGTTGTTTTTGTATTCAGACCGTATTTTGCTCAACTTTCAACTGGTGTTTTTGACACGAGAAAATGGGTTTTCGAAAGCAATGGGTACCTAACTATTTGAGGAGACGTTAATTTTTTTTTTTAGTAAGTTGTTTAAAGCGTTGTTTCGTATCAACCGTGGACTTAACCTCTTATCGACAATGCGTGTACACCAGTTTTTCCGTAGGACGTTAAATCGATAAGCCTCAACTCCAATATTTCAAATGTTCCACATTATTTTTGAATTTAAGATTTGTGTGATTTAGTACCTACGTTTCACACTCCATATGATATCACAAAAAACATTTATTCATCCAACTCTTTTCTACAACGTACTTCGAAGGTATATTGTCAAAAATGACTTACCAACTACCTATACTGTTATCTGTGACGTAAAAGGTTTGAAATAATAGTATAACTACTATAAATTGCATAGAATAAAAATATTATTAATAATTATAAAAATGCCTAGTAAATAGTCACCATTAAAGTATCTCAAATTGAGGTATTGACATTGCACCAAAGTTTAAATTATTACAGTACATTAACAATATTATATTGATACTTTGAACTCATCGGTATAAAATAAAAGGATGTGTATTTTTCTATAGTACCTACACATTAGAAATAATTATTATTTGAACTTTGAAACTGGTGAATATTAATATATTTTAATACGAAGATATAATAATAATATTATATTGCATACCCGCTCACTTATCACGATTAAAATATGTTTTGTTTTTAAATGTTTTAAATGCCTTCATAAGGGTAAACATTTTACAATAATTTGCCTTTAGATTTGTCGAATCTATCAACAGATTGAAATCAATACACTAATGTAAGTCGGTAGTATTCTCTCCCTCCCCAATTCGTACCTACTGGCTTTGGTTTGTTTCATGCCATTAATCATTCCGGGCACAATGACTTTGAGCGAACAGCGAGCAGAAGAGTATAATATCCCAGAAGAGATATTTAGACTCCCTTGTGGCATAAAACCTTTAGAATAAACTGCCTCTCACAATCATCGGTAGCCCGAGAATATTTGTTTAATGTCAATCGACCTTTTCCAATCAGACGGAAATCAAATTATGATGATGTATTTTTCACGTAAAGCGCGTGTTTGTTTAACGTCGAAACGCGCGATTTATGTTTACGGTGTATATTTTCATTTACATGATACGGTCAATTGATCCACGGCAATTCAGCGGGTTTCCGGCTCGGGGGGTTTTAAGTACCTACCTATATGCTTGCCGAAAGTTATTGCCGGCAGTACCTATATACACCTATAATACACTGCGTATATGGTGTGTATTTATGTAGAAACCCCGTTCGTGCGAAATCACCATACACGACGCAGTTGTTCGTGTCGTCAGGTTGTAAGCCAATTCAGTTGTTAAATAGGCTGTTATTAAAGCGTGTTGTTAATTTTTGGGGCCAATGCACTGCAGTACTTGATACTTATATTTTTTTTACAACCATAATTATCATATTGCCATGATGCGTAATATTAAACATTATTCGGCCAGTGACCGCCATTGAACACAACAGAAATGTCACGAGGACAGCTGATCGGATTTATATATGGTTTACCCGTTGGTCTGAACTTCGAGTCCTGCCGTACTGGGGACCTCCCGTGAACACTGCCAATACTAGTCCGTTTATAGAAATATTATGTTCAGCGGCGTATTTAATGCCGCTCCTGGGATTATAGGAACGTATCAAACCAGCGTGAAATTCATGCAGTCCCCGAGAAATGTGAAACCAAAAGTGACAAGTTTCATATGACCCATCGATTTAAAATCCATAGGTTCTCACTCTTTATCCATTGACACAATAATAGACTTTTTTCGAATAACTGATGGGAATATTATTTGTTATACTTCAACACATTTTTTTCATGTATTGATTTACCATTTATGAATATAATTAATTTAAGTACAACAGTAATCCATCAATTTCATTATTATTATTTTTGTTTTAACGGAAAATTAAATCATATTTGATCGGTTGTTATTATATGAGATACACATTATTGTTATTGAACACAACGACGAAATTAGATGCACTTTGGCGGCTCGCGTCTGGTGTCTAAATTTATTATGGTAATGAGTCGCGAAAAAAAAATAAACTACGCCAAATTGCTGTGCGAGTTCGGCTTAGGTAGAACTTACGGAGGAAATAAAAATACTGCAAAATTGACTGTCGTTCTTTACTCGATTTATTTCCGTCGCTTTCTATAACATTCCACTCGACCGCCGCCGCGTTAAAACATCTGTGTCGTCATTTCTCGCGACCAGTGACGATGAAGATAGAAAATGATGTCACTGTAAAATACACGTATTCAGATGTTTTTATTTAACTCTTATGATCTCGTTCTTGCTGTAGATTAAATTAGCGAAGTATTATTAAATAATATGGTGCATTGAAACCTATATGAATATAGTTTAGGTCGATGGCAATACGATCAGCCGAGTGTGAAATGTGCTTCACATCATTTTTCATTATTTTGTTCTTGAATTAAGCAAAAACCGTTTTTATATATTAGATATATTGGATAGGTATTTAAAATATTTTAGTATTACATCTTTAAGCATTAACGAATAAAATATTTATATCATCACACACGTAACAACTTTATGTAGGTAATCCGAAGCTCATGTTATTAAAACTGTTATTTATAAAGCCACGTTTAGACGTATTACTCGTATTATAATCTCTTTACTTATAATTAAATAATTGGTATTGGCTTACTTTTTAATATGATATTGATAAACTGATTGAATTTATACCTACTTTATACCATATATACTGTGTACTATAATATATTATTAATTATTATGTGCCTATACGGCAATAGAGTGCGGCTGATATAATTTCAGATAGAGTGTTCATAAAATTCTAATAGTCACAAAACACTTTAGGTACAAGTCACAAAAACCCTAAGTTAAAGTGGTCTGGTTTTCCGTGGTTGACTGAATTTTTTTGGGTAGGGTAAGAAGTAGGCAATAATACTAATGTAGTTAATTTTCTTAATCGAACGTTGAAAAATATAGATATTGAGTTAATCAATACCGTATTGTATAGTTGTACTTAAATATAATATGATGATAATTGATAGTAAATTATGACACAATTATATACGACGGTGTGTGGTTTAAAACCGCATGGAATATTTATTGATCTGCCGGAAAATATGCAGTGCATAAGATATTTGAGCATTTTATTTAACTATGTAATATTTTAATCGTTATACGCTTTTACATTGAACGTACCTAATATATTATTTAATTCACGCTTGAGCTTTGTTGACACTACTGGGTTAGTTATAGTAAAACGCAAATAGAAAGTAATTTTAAAAGTCAATAAAATACCGATTAACCTACCTACCCGCAGCACTGTACAGCTCATGTTAACATTGCACACGCACCCATTACATCCACATATATTATATACTTGCACACAATAACGCGTTGCATTTTTATTTTTCTAGACCGAAGTTTTTTGGTAGCCAATGCACAGCAAGCCGGCTGTAACATAATCTACTGCTCGGACGGTTTTTGCCACATGACCGGTTACAGCCGGGCCGAGGTAATGCAGTGTCCGGCGATATGTGACTTCCTCCAAGGGCCGATGACGTCGCAGCACGCCGTGTCCGTGGTCAAGGAAGCGCTGGCCGCGGGCATGGAGAGACATTTTGAGATACTCTATTACCGGAAAGACGGTAAGACCGCTGCAGGTTTAATAATAATTATAATAATAATCGTTATTTTATATATAGAGTATACAAATGATGATAGTATAAAGTATAAAACTTATAAGGGGGGTTTTTTTCGTATTACCATTATATTGGCGTCGTTACTCACGAGTCATCGTCATCATCATGGTGGCACATTGTGGTCGTTTTTGTTTTGAAATGGTTTGGAAAATCTTTTTCTCATTTTTGATGGTTGCTAAAAGTGCGTCCAAATTATCCATTCCGTATCAACCAGGTGGATGCATAATATAAAGCGAAATTTTCGGACGCATATATTACTATGAAAGTTCAATGAGGTTCAAAGTCATCATATGGATAGTACCTACATCATACTGTTTGATTTAAAGTACATGTTTTTAAATTATGTCCTATCAATACAGTAAGCTGCAGTGTACCCCATGTATGCAAACAAGCAGTTTGTTGGATCTAGTGTACTTGAAAGATAATATAATAAAATGTGTTTTTTTTTTTAATTTCTCTTTTTATTTGAATGTACGTTTCACTCTAAAAGTAAGCTTTCACCCCAGCCATACTAAACACCCTAGTTTTCTATTCAAGTTATTACCAACAGTTAAAATATTGAACGTTTTGTTTTGAATATACCAACCATTTTTATCCCAGGCTTGTCCACCATTGGACGGTTATCTCGAAATGGACGGTACCTATCTATCCATTTATGTATTAATATATACTATGTACCGGAGTTGCTTTATATATTATTACCTATGTCATTATAACTATGTCTATAAACGTATTAATTAAATCATTATTTCTCTATATTATGCTAGTTGATTTAACAATATAAGTTCAGTATTTAGAGTAGTATAAGTTCTTAGACTTAACATCAATACAACATAATTAAACCAGTGGTCTAATTTCAGTTTTTGAGAGGGGCAACATTTTTGACCGGCATAATATAATAAAACTAAAAATTAACCGCTCGCTAATAACCACATTACATTACATTTTTATCGCAATACAAATAGCCTTCTTACATAGTAAAGTTGTCATAGATAATAAAGTATAATAGGTAGGCCATCATTCTTATCGATGTTCCAAGAATGATAACTTATCTGAGACAACCGTGCAGGTTAGTGGTTACTGGTTACTATCATAATTATAAATAATCTATTTTTTTGAGAGACAACAATGATTAAATAATTAAAACATATTATGTAGAGGGATACCTAAATATAGCTACTACATGAAGCACCAAAACTAGCCCATACCCAGCCCGATAGCGGCCCGCTAATGACAAGGGGATTGCAAATCCACACCCAGTCACCACCAAATGACGCCACTGAATGAAATACTAAAACCCGTCCCATGTCTACCGTTTGTGTAAGAGATAAAATTAAAAATGTAAGCTCAAAGCCCGAGTTCGAGATGTTTAATTTTATACAGCTGATGTACCATTTGAACAAAGGTCGTGTGTATACAGTCTTGAAGAGTACGCTCACCGTATAGTCTCTTTAATATCCGTCAGCCAATAAGACGGAGTAAGAGCTCGTAAATCGTTTCACTGCGTTATTTAGAGGGCGAAAGTTTACTGGCACCGTTGCGTATACATATGTATATATACTATATTAAAATATAATATATAATAACACATACATAGTGTACACGTGCTTACAAACCAGACGATGTATTATATAATAATACTTTGGTCAACGAAAGTCGATTTCTAAAAACAACAAATAGTTTTTAAAAGATACGAAAAAAAAGTACCTTACGATAACAGATCGTACTCAGCCTTTAATTTCAAAACACATAACTTGTTACCGTTAGGCATATAATACTCACACAAACACACGGGATTGTTCGAGTCATTGAAAAAATATTGATTTCAAATATAAAGCATAAAAAAATAGAATACAAACAAGTTCGGTATGTTGTATATTATAATATGTTTTTCGGCGTTCGAGCCGGTTTCTATACTTTTGGTGAAATGTTAATCATTAATTTCCTCTATATATAGATACGCATGTGTGTCTAAAAAAACCAAAACAATAACTTATTTCTGTGCAGCGTACATTATACGTTTTGACAAATAGTCGGCTGTATAATTTCTCTGCATTTTCAGGCCGTTATTTTATTGCTATTCAAATAAATCGAGGCTTTATAATTTTAGACCGCTTTTAATTAATTTGTGAAATCGTGAAATATGTTTCGCTGTGTTTGTTTTAAATAATTTAAAGCTTACTTGATATAGTGAACAAGCATTTAGTTAACGATATTAATTTAAGTGTATTTTTTTTTCTTTGTTATAGTGAAGTGGTTTTAAATTAATTTTAGTATTTTACACATCATAATATTACATAATATACGAGAACCTACTACCTGGTAATGGCTGGTATACATTTAATTTCTTCGATAAGTCATTAGAACTTTTGAAAATAAACATTATAATATATCATGTACACGCCGTTCGGTTTTAAACTATTGTACTTTATTTAATCTATACCTACAAACATGATAGGTGGGTAAAGCGTTATTTATGTGTGCAGTACAGGTAACAGGGCCGAACAAATTTGTAATTTATCATTTACCATTTGATTTAAAAAATGAATCAATACATTCATGTTCTAGTTAAAATAGAATAAACACATAAATGTGATACTATAAGAAACAGTGAAATGAACGTTCTTCACAAGGTCATTAAAGTTCACATATATCCGACATTTGACCTAGATTTCTGCTACAATTGTTACGGGTGACACTGGTTTTTGAATTAATATCTCGGTGTAATCGAATGATGATATTTTAATGAACCATCGAGGATGGGACCGACGGCTTATCCTGAAAATTGGTTTCAATATTACATTACATGGGCCTCCTGAGACTTCATATAATATTTAATATCTTATTTATGAGTTGTAAATATTATATTTTAATACATATAATAGCATCGAGAATCCGAAAGACAATGAACATTTCCCTAAAGACGTGTATTATTATCCATAATTCTTTGAAATGGTGTCATGGCAGTTTCATACATATCTAATAATACCATAAAATCTAGTAATATTTAAAACGTGATATCATTATCTTTAACCATTTGTATAGCTTAGATAAGTAATGCCAAATTACCAAACATAATTTTAATTATTATATCATATTTTGTGGTCACAAAAATTAATTACAAGTACTTTCTGTATATTATTAAAACGTAAAATGTAAATTTTTTTCGTCCGTGAAAACGTATCGAAAGGACCATAACTATTTCGGCAAGAGATAGCATTAAAATGTTGATACAATTAAGTTTTATGGTTCAATTGCCAGTTATTTATTTATTGCAGCATTTTATGTGAATTATAATGTGACAATAGACTGATGCTTTAATGCTCTCTATTTATTTTATTTATTACATGAAATTATTTTAAAATTTCACGACCAAATACAATTTGAAATATTTATAAAGTCTATTAAATGGAAATGAATAATTTAACTTAGCTTTTATATTAAATGATCCAGTTTATTTTATAGTGTATGTATTTATAAATATTTATACCGTATTTTATCTTGGTCAATGTAATCGTATGCAAATTGCGAGTTATTAAAATAATGGCCAACCCTGTGAAATGCCGTAAGACATTCCAAAAAAGGAATTTTGGTTTAGGTACTATTTTCACCAAAATGTAGTACGGCCCATGAACGTTTTGAAAAATCAATATGAACGTGTCGACTGACACAATGGGCTACTCGGTGTACGCAGTTTTTGCACACGTCTAAGAAGACTTTTCTTAAGAACATTTTTAATCATATGAGTGCGAAACTAATTTATTTGTAATTAAAATATAAGAACATTGTAATAGAGATGATATAATATAGGTACAATTGATCATAAAATACACCAACATGGTATTATATTGTACAATAACGAATAATTATATTTTTATTATATTATAATACTAATGGGTATTATAGCCAGTAAGATCAAGACCCATCCTATATATAAAGGTTGTTAGAAATTGTTTACTACGCGTTTCTTACAAAAACTATTTACTGACTAGAAACTTAAATATATAATTGACAATTGCTATATTATAAAATTAATATATTTTATATTAATTTTACGCATAAATAATTAAAACATATTATCCCAACCAAACTGGTTGGTATTAAAAAATTACGTTATAATTTTTGGTTTTTTCAAATTCAAAATTGGTTTTGATTAAGTTCGGTCTTATATTTTAATCACACCAACCCGTTTCACAATAGTAATATATTATTATAAATGTAAACTTTGAAAAAAAGTTTTTGTGCATTGGCACAATTTTTTAATAATTCATTGTTTCCATTTAAGAAAAAAAAACTCTTATCATATTACTTACATTTTATTTTGGCGTCCTTGGAATATACATACACAAGTGCGGTATTTTTCTAACACATATAATATTCTTGTGCTTTGGCGAAAATACTGCGTTCAATTTTAAAAACGAGAACGAATACAAGAAAACATCTTAAGTTATTATTATCATTACACGCAATGGCTGGCTAGTACGACTTCGTGTGCTGTACAACTGATATGCTTCCAAAACTTAATAGATTACGCTGTCTAGTTTGAATTTATATATCGGAGACTCCTCGAGGAACGCTGTTAGTATTTTCACTTGAAACCTATATATACACAACAGTTACTATATTTTGTACACGCACAATCTTCAGTATCGAAATTTGTAGTATTATATACAGGGTGGTTCTTTGAAAAGTCAACTCATTTTCTAGAAAAGTGACAACTTTTTAATACATTTGTTTTTTTACATGATTTGAAGTGATTACAAAACAACGTTTTTGAAAAAAAAAACTACATCTTTTACTATAATATTTTACCGTTATAATTTTATAAGATTTTAACTTTTTTGAATGACAGTATGCAAAATTTATCGACCAGTGGAGGAGTGGACCAACGGTTTGAGGGTTACCCCTATGACACTCCACTATATATGCCCATTAAAGCTTCAAAT